ATGCATTCTTTCTTTCTTGTACACTCTTTTCTTCTCACTTCCAAAACAAATTTCATAATTTCTTTCTTTCTTTCTTTCTTTCTTTCTTTCTTTCTTTCTTTCTCATTTTCTCTCCCTCCTTTCTTTCTCTTTTTTTTTCATTTTTCTCTCTTTCTCAATCCTCAGTCTTATTTTTCTTTCTTCTTTCTCCCTCTTCATTTTCTCTCCATTCTCCTTTTTGTTTTTCTTCCTTTCTCTCTACAGTCTTATTCTCTCTACTTCTTTCTTCCTCTTCATTTCTCCTCTCTCATTATATCTCCCTTGTAATTTGTTTCAATGACATGCATTCTTTCTTTCTTGTACAGTCTTTTCTTCCTTCATTCCAAAACTCAAATTTCATAATTTCTTTCTTTCTTTTTTTTCATTTTTCTTTCTTTCTTTCTTTCTTTCTTATTTTCTTTCCTTCTTTCTTCCCTTCCTTCATTTATCTACCTCTCATTATCACATCCTTTCTTTCTCTTTTGTTTTCATTTTTCAATCTCTTTCTTGCAAATCTACAGTCTTATTTTCTTTCCTTCTTTCTTCATTTTTCTTTTTACTTTTTTCTTTGATTTTGTTTCTTTTTCTTTCATTTTTAAATTTTTCACTATTTTCTTTTTTTCTTTTTCTTGTTTCATTTTTTTTCTTTCTTTTCTGTCCTAACTACTTCAGATAAATTTTGTCTTTGAATTATCTAGACATGAATGCTTCACTGTGTGTGTGTGTGTGTGTGTGTGTGTGTGTGTGTGTATGTGTGTTTGGTGGGTAACAGAACCACACCCCAACACAACCCTGACTAGTAACTTCACAGAAAGAAACTACAAACTATATTAAGTAATTCATTTTTATTCTTATAGAATTACAAAATCTGATTTTTTTTCTTATTTTTGACAGCATAATTTTTTTCATTTTAGTCTTGCTTTATTATTTAATATATTTTATCTGTTTGATTTTTAGATTTTATTTTTACTTTCTCAAGATCTCCTGATTTCCGACCAGCCTCTTCCTTCCTTTGTAACCTGTGCCCCCATCTCTGAATCTTCCCCATAACATTATTGACCAAAAGTTCTCGCTTAAGAAACAGTGTACATAAAATTAAAGATGGATTCATTGGATCGATTCATAAATATTTTGTCTATGTCTTGGCTTTGAAGATATAAAGGAAGGAAAGGAAGGAAGGAAAGGAAGGAAGGAAGGAAGGAAAGGAAGGAAGGAAGGAAGGAAAGGAAGGAAGGAAGGAAGGAAAGGAAGGAAGGAAGGAAGGAAGGAAAGGAAAGTGAAGGAAATAAGAAAGGAAGGAAAAAAAGGAATAAGAAAAAGCAATAAGAAAGGAGAAAAATAAGGGAAGCAAAATGGAAGAATGAAAGAAAAATAAAAGAATGAGTTAGGGAAAGATGGATCTTTTTTAAAAAAAGAAGGAAATTGAGATAGAAGGAATGAGGAGGAGGGAAAAGAGTAAAAATGAGGGGGTAAGTGTAAAACTGAAAGTGAGGTAAGGAAGATGAAAGAAGTAAACATGAAAAATATGAGTGAAAGAGAAAAGGAAAAAGTGAGGATGAGGGGATGAGAAAGCAGGTGAGGGGGATTATGAAGTGAAAAAAAAGTGAAGGGTTGTCATGAAAAGGAAAGGGGAGAAGAAGAAGAGGAGGAAGAAGAGAATGAACAATTTTGAAGAATAAGCGAGAAAGAGAAGAAAGAAGGGAAGAAAGAAGGAAGGGGAGGAAGAATAGAATAAATAATAAGGAAGAATAAGAGATAGAGAAGAAAGAAGGGGAAAAAAGAAGGAATGAAGGACAGGAAGAAGAGAATAAAGAAAATGAAAAATAAAGAAAAATAAGTGAGAAATTGTAGAGAAAAGAAAGAAGGAAGGGGAGGAAGAAGAAAAGGAACAATAAGGAAGAATAATAAAGAAAGAGTGAAGAAAGAAAGGTGGGGAGGAAGGAGAGAATGAACAATAAGGAAGAAAAAAGAGAAAGAGCGAAGAGAGAAGAAGGAAGGGAAGGCAGAAGAGAATGAACAGTAAGAGAGAAAGGGTGATGAAAGAAGTGAAGAAAGAAGAGGAAGGAAGAGAGTGATGAGAGAAGAAAGAAGAGAAGAAAGGACCAGATTCTTAAAAGACCTGCATCATGTAAAAGCATACAGTAATAGTAATAGCTGTTTCCTTATAAGGAAACATTTGTCATTCATTGACCAAGGAGCCTAGTGCTACTTTTAGTTGAAATTTATAAAATCTTTCTCAATATTGCCTGATCTTGTAAATAAACTAAAACACATTGAGCATACAATAGATAAATATGTATAGACTGAGATAGATAGATAAGAATAGATTTAGATAGATAGAAATAGATTTAGATAGATAGATAGATAGAAATAGATTTAGATAGATAGATAGAAATAGATTTAGATAGATAGATAGAAATAGATTTAGATAGATAGATAGAAATAGATTTAGATAGATAGATAGAAATAGATTTAGATAGATAGATAGAAATAGATTTAGATAGATAGAAATAGATTTAGATAGATAGAAATAGATTTAGATAGATAGATAGAAATAGATTTAGATAGATAGAAATAGATTTAGATAGATAGATAGATAGAAATAGATTTAGATAGATAGAAATAGATAGATAGAAATAGATTTAGATAGAAATAGATTTAGATAGATAGATAGAAATAGATTTAGATAGATAGATAGATAGAAATAGATTTAGATAGATAGATAGATATGAACAATCTGAAATAGACATAAATAGACTGAGATAGATAGATAGATAGATATGAACAATCTGAAATAGACATAAATAGACTTAGATAGATAGATAGATAGATAGATAAATAGGTAGGAATAGATACATAGGAATACATAGATAGATAGAAATAAATAAATAGATACATAAGAATAGACTTAGATAGGAATAAATTTAAAAAAAGAATAAACTTAGATAGAAAGGAATAAAAAGCATATTGACAATGACCTAATGCTAAACATATATCAATATCTACTAAAAAAAATCATCTGATAAACTTCTAGTCATATCACAACAAAATAAAATATGGAATATATATATATATATATATATATATATATATATATATATATATATTGATATTTAGGTCAATACCCAGTGGTGACAGTCTGTTTCATGCTTAAATGCAATTTTCAGGCCAGAAGATGATGTTCAAACGTGAAACAGACTTTCTACTTTTACATTTGCATATGTTCTAACCCTAATATTGAGCACTTTAACCCCAAACTATAGCATACTTTAATACTAGATTTTTAACACACACATACAAAACCTGACCAGTTTGGCATCAGTCAGAGATTCTCACCTCTAGGCCATCAGTGTATGCTAGGAAGAAAAGGAATTTTTAACACATACGCATTACTGCCTTCCAGAGGGCTCAATTCAGTGAAGAACTTATAATCAGTATAACAGCAAAATTGTCCATTTGTTAAATTAAGCTTTGAACTGTTGCATCTTAATGATTAAAGATATCTTACTGGAATTTTCCAAGGTTTTTATAACACTGTTGGACTGTACTTTGAGTAATAAGAATGTATAATTACTCTCCAAGCTTAACAGAAGAATTGTGATGTAATTGATCATAAACAAAAATGACATGCTCATCATTAATTAATCATAGCTAAGGATCGGAAGCTCATGAAGGGTTGAAATAAAGTTTAAATATATATATATATATATATATATATATATATATATATATATATATATATTATTCCAGGATCATTTTCCAACTTATTCAAGATGATCTTCGGCCTTTCTAACCTTCTAACTTTCTGCTCTGGAGAAACAATGTTCCTCACAGGTTTCATGTATGATTTCATTTTCAAGTTGTTTTTCACTGCGTTTTGGACTGTCATAGCTGAAACTCCTCCCTCATTTGCCAAACGTCTTATGGATTGAGTTGGATCTTTTCTAATTGATGTCTTTAGCTCTAAGTTGAAATGATGATCCCTCTTGCTGTTGTGACCTCCTGATCTAGTTTTCTCTCTACTGTTCCTTCTTTATTAAACTTATTCACTGTTCTCTTGATAGTTCTAAAATCGATTTTGAAGATGGAAGCCAGAGTATTAATGTTGGTACCATTACTGCAGGCCTGAATGATCTTTTTCCTCTCACCACTGCTCATTTATTAAAACAGCGGGGCTGACACAAAACGATTTTGAACTGATCTCTTTCTAGCTGAATAGCTCAAAGGTTCTTTTCAGTGATTCTTACAACAAATGGTGTCAAGATGGCTAAACATCTTAGCTGAAAACCTGGAAAAAAGAAACTCAATAAGCATAGTGGTTTTTTAGATATTAAACATTTTATGGGATGGACTGTTATTCTGTTACATATTTTGGACAATTTCAGTATTATATATATATATATATATATATATATATATATATATATATATATATACACACACATATATGTATAGATATGCACATATACATATTTATAGGGATAGATATTTATGTATATACTCATGCGTGTGTTCACTCAGTCATGGACGCAATGCATAAATATTTAATTTTTAGTTTTTTTTTTTTTTACACTCCTTCTTCTTTTCTTATATGAACGTGAAAAATGAATTTCATAAAGGTAATAATTTCTTTCCATGAATAAATAAACGAATGACTGTATAATTCGCTTGAATGATTCTCAAACTGTCCACTCCATGAATTATGGACTTCTTTAATGAAAACGTCTTTTGTTCCTCTTATTGTAGTTATAAAGTCCCTTCTTCATCATCCCCACCCACGTCATCCGACATCAACAGTCAATTGTAATTCATTCTTTTTTCTGTTAACCCTACTAAAGTTGTTTTTCTTAATAATATATACATTAATATATTCTCAATGATTCTATCGAAATAAATAAATGTTTTTTTTTCCTTTTCTTCAATTTCTATCTTTTCCTTTCTCCTTCTCTTTCTCCCTTTTCATCTTTGATGTAGCTTCTTGCTGACTTTTCCTCTCATATCATGTGTCGAACAAATGATTCTATGTGCAGATCTGGTGTTTACATTGTCTAGAAATTAAAGACACTTTCACGCCACTGTAACATAGATTCTCTTTGATATTTCTATAAATATTTTCATCGTAATTGTTCTGGTGAGCTTTCCTCTTTGATACTTCAACTTTACAAATTTAGGTGCAATACTAGATTGGCGGGTAGGTCTCATCATTTTGCAGTTTAAATGTCTAGATGTAACTGTAAGTTCTATGCTAACAGTTTCTCCATTCACAGTCTCTTTCAGCTTCTTTTCTTCCAGTAAACTTTGATCTTCAAAAGTATTACTGCAATGTCAATCGTTATCTTCTGTCTTCTTAATTCCAGTTCTTTTAGTGTCCTCTCTTCTTAATAATAGCTTTTCTTATATTCTCTAACACTCAGTAACCCCTTGCATCCTAGTGGCTTTATTGCCTTTGATCTTCAAAAATTTAAATGCAACGTCAGTCGTTATCTTCTGTCTTCTTAATTTCAGTTCTTTTATTGATGTCTCTCATTGCATCCTAGTGGCTTTATTGCCTTTGATCTTCAAAATTTTAAATGCAATGTCAATCGTTATCTTCTGTCTTCTTAATTCCAGTTCTTTTATTGTATTCTCTCATTAATAGTAGTTTTTTCTCATATTCTCTAACACTCAATAACCCCTTGCATCCTAGTGGCTTTATTGCTTTTAATCTTCAAAAATTTAAATGCAACGTCAATCGTTATCTTCTGTCTTCTTAATTCCAGTTCTTTTAGTGTCCTCTCTTCTTAATAATAGCTTTTCTTATATTCTCTAACACTCAGTAACCCCTTTGCAACTTTGATCAAAAATTTATCTGCGTCAGTATTATCTTCTGTCTTCTTAATTTCAGTTCTTTTATTGATGTCTCTATCCTTCTGTCTTTTCTTCAAAAATTCAATGTCAAGTTCTTTTTCTTAATTCCAGTTCTTTTATTCTCTCATTAGTTTTTCTTATATTCTCTAACACTCAGTAACCTTGCATCCTTGGCAATCTTCAAAAATTTAAATGCAACGTCAGTGGTTATCTTCTGTCTTTTAATTTCAGTTCTTTTATTGATGTCTCTCATTGAGTGGCTTTTGCCTTTGATCTTCAAAATTTTAAATGCAATGTCAATCGTTATCTTCTGTCTTCTTAATTCCAGTTCTTTTATTGTATTCTCTCATTAATAGTAATTCTCTAACACTCAGTAACCTTGCATCCTGCCTTCGATCTTCAAAATTTAAATGCAACGTCAGTCGTTATCTTCTGTCTTCTTAATTTCAGTTCTTTTATTGATGTCTCTCATTGCATGTTAGTGGCTTTAGTTCGTTGCTTTGGTTGAAATTATAAAAAAAAAATGTTGAGTCATAAATCGATTGAGGTGACTCATTTACACAGGAAGTCACAAAAACTATAAATAGCTACAGCTATTACCCATGAGGCAGTTGAGTGCTGACTACTTCCTGTGGGTCAGCAACACTAAACTACAATGGTGTCACCAATATCTAATGAACCAAAGAAATAATTATCACTTGATAATTATGAATACGCACAAACTTGGCTTAGATTACTAGCAGCTAAAACTAGAACAAAAAGGGTAAAAGACAAACAATCTTTGGAGGAACACTCCTATGAGAAAAGAAAAAGATCATGATCTCCCATATTGAGACAGTTTCTTAGGGAGAGGGAAGAAGATAGTGAGGTGACAAAAGCTTCCAGAAGTACCTGGAAAAATAAGGGGATAAAACCTCCTCTGTACAGGGAGATGAGCTGACTGATTTATATAGGAAGTCACAAAGACGATAAATGGCTACAGCTATTGTCCATGAGGCAGTTGAGTGCCTACTATTTCCTGTGAGTCAGTAACTACACTACATGGATTCCATTTTTGCAAACCATTTTTAATAATGAAAGTATCAGCCTCTGTAATGGTCATATACTAATGTCTTATAGGATATTGCTATTATATTTTCCATTGTTTTTTCAAGATTTTTGAAACTTATGGTCATATTGAAAAAGAATGATTCCTGTACAATCACGGGAGTTAAGCTGCATTGAGCCTGGTCAGTACCTAGATGGGTGACCGCTTGGGAATACCAGGTAATGTAAGCTGTTGGATGTGCAGGTGGTGTAATGGATAATGGCTCGGAATTTGGAATCGGAGAATATTCCTATACATAACTGGGCTGCAATTGCGCAGTCCTTCAGGATGTTGGTGATCATAGCTCTCCACAATTTCCTATCTTTGTAGGTCTTAGTAAAGTTTCTCTTTCCACCATCTTTCCCAATCCTCGTTCTGCTATTTATTTTTACTGGACCTAGTTTTTTAGTTTTATTTTTTTCCCTCTGCCCCTCTTACCTTTATTGTGTCCTCTGAGTGTTAAATTCTACAAGCCTTTTCTCCTCATTTATGTGTCCTAAACTTTCAACTGTCTCTTTCTGATTTGAAATATAAGCACACTTTTCGTTTCCATTTTATTTCATACTTCCTTGTTACTCATGGTCAGTCTATGTTATTCTCAGTATCTTTCTGTAGAACCATATCTCTATTACCGCAAGTCATCAGTGAGGAGATTGTCCATCATTAACTGACATATAGGAGGATTGAGATTCCATATCATGTCAGCACTCTTTTCTTTGTATTCTCAGCATCCTTCTGTAGAACCACCCACATTTTACCTCTGATCTTCTCTTCATCTGATTGTCCATCATTAACTGACATATACAGGATTTATATTACATGACAGTTTAACACACTTTTCTTTGTATTCTTAACATCCTCCTGTAGAACTACCCATTTTGCCTCTAGTCTTCTCTTCATTTGATTGTCAATCATTCACTGCCATATAGGAGGATTGACATTCCATATCAGTTCAGTATTCTTTTCTTTGTATTCTCAGCATCCTTCTGCAGAACCACCTGCATTTTGCCTCTAGTCTTCTCTTCATCCGATTGTCCAGCATTCACTGCCATTGAGACAGACTGATATTCCATATCAGTTTAGCACACTTTACTTTGCATTCTCAACAGCCTTCTGTAGAACCACCCATTTTTTTGTCTCAAGTTTTCATTTCATCTAATTGTCAATCATTCACTACCATAGAGAAGGATGGATATTCCATATCATTTTAGCACTCTATTCTTTGTATTCTCAACATCCTCCTGTAGAACCACCCACATTTTGCCTCTAGTCTTCTCTTCATCTGATTGTCAATTGTTGACTACCATAGAGGAGGATTGATATTCCATATCAGTTTAGCACTCTTTACTTTGCATTCTCAACATCCTCCTGTAGAACCACCCATTTTGCCTCTAGTCTTCTCTTCATATGATTGTTCAGCATTCACTGCCATATAGGAGGATTGATATTCCATATCAGTTCAGCATTCTTTTCTTTGTATTCCAGCATCCTTCTCTAGAACCTCTCATCTTTTGTCTCCAGTCTTCTCTTCATCTGATTGTCCATCATTCACTGATATATATGGGATTTATATTACATGATAGTTTAGCACTCTTTTCTTTGTTTCTAATGAAATTTTTCTGTTTTTTTTAATATTTGGCTTAACTTCTGGAAGGCATCATTTGTCTTCAAATACATCTAAAGATTTTGTTCTCATATTTTCCATTCTATGTTAAAGCACTTCCCAAATATTTAGATTTTGTACTTACTTGGTTTTGGTGTCTTCAATTTGTAGTTTGCATCTTAGGATGTTCATGCAATTGAGAGTAAGCCCTTTCTTCTCATTCCTTTTCTACCAATCTCTAAGAGTTCCTCATTGGAAAATACTGCAATGAATCACACGTTTTAGTCTAAAATTTAAACAGGAAAGAAGTGATAAAAGGTTTATCTTGTGTGCTATAATATTTACTCAGTAAATCCGTTATATTTAACCATTTTCTGATATATAAAAAAAATGTTTTTTGCTGTTAGATTATCCATCAAGGTGTTAACCTATCAAACATTTCATCCATATTTTTTTTTTTTTTTTCACAGGCACTGGGGAATCTTTATTTTGTCCATGAAGAAGTTGACGTAGCAGAAATATGGGATTTTGAAGGTAAGTACATTTTTATATACTTTCTGAATTGGGCAGAATGTAGATATGGTTCTTTTCTAATGAAGCAATCCTAAAATCTGGTGGAATAGCATCACTTGTCCTCAGCCATCTACTATGTCTCTCATGTGATGGCTCCAAGTTGCCATAGTCCAGTAAACCATTTCAGCTGGCAGGTTAAACTCATGTGAGTGGGGTGGATTAAACATGGCACCACTGGGCAAAGGTCCTCAACGCAGGTCACCGGCCAGGATGGAAGTGTTCCTCAGATGAACTTCAATAGCCATATGTTCATGACCAAAGAGAGCCACCTAGTTGGAAGATATTAACTGTGTTCTAACCTGGAGTAAAATGCCAGAGATGAGCCATATTATGAGCACACCAAGAAACCTTTAGCAGAGGCTCAAGATTTGACACATGACCATGACAGATGAAGGAGAATAGTGGACAGCTCAGCATGTGAGTGCCTTAACGTCTCCTTCTGGTGTTTTGGGCAAAAGAAGAAAAATAGTCCCACGCTTACATGAAATAAAAAAGAGAAGATTAATCTAGGTTTCTTGGATGTTCCCTTTAGCTTAAAATAGGAAGAATGTTGCACATGGCCCTTATAATATGGGAACCCCACTTCTTTTAAAATGCTATGTCTGTTCAAGATATGAGCAATCATAGCTCCCTACAACCTATTAGCCATTAGCAAAGTTAACTCTATTACCAAACCTCTTATATATATATATATATATATATATATATATATATACACACACACACGGGTTAGGGTCAGATATGGATCGGAATCAGACAGGATCATAATATAAAGTATAAATAGAAAGCGTTTATCAATCTAACTGTTCAGGGACCTTACCCATAATAACATAATGGACTATTCCATATGTAATAAATACTGCGCCTCAAGGAAGCAGAGAGTTCTGTCTGAAGTCTAGAGTTCCGGCTGAAGTTTGGAGTTCAGTCTGAAGTCTGGAGTGAGGTCGGTCAGGAGTCTATCAGTCAGTCAGAGTGAGCGAGTCAGTCAGTCAAGTCAGAGGCAGTCCAAAACAGAGTCGTGTTCAGACAATTACTACTAAACCTGATTGTTCGTACTAACCCTTTCTACTTCTCTGTATATATTCCTGTTTGTAATATATCTGTATTATTCCATATCCACCTTCAAGTTCTTCTTTATTGGTTCTACCTTGGACTATCACCGTGGTACAAGGAACCGGACCATAACACTAACATGTATCACTTTTATTAAAGCTTTGTCAGAAACTGAGATATGGAGAAAAGGAAAGAAATTTTGTGCTGTTTGATTTTCATTGGTCATTCATGTATCACCTGCACATGACTCTTTTAAAACAATATTAGCATAATTTTCGGCATTGCAAATTCAATGAGAGGTGACACATCCAAATTTTCAAGAAATTAACAGACTCCAAGCCTAGCTGAAAATAATGTAAATATTACTATATGTATATAAGTTCATAAAAATTCTAGTTTGTCTATGTGGGCATCAGATAATAATGTATATTCATAATTGTGTGTGTGTGTGTGTGTGTGTGTGTGTGTGTGTGTGTGTGTCTATGTCTGTAGGCATTATGTTTGTTGTATTTTTTCTATGTTGATATAGGAATATTTTTACTGATTACTGATGAGTTTTTACAAAACTGACCCCAGTAAAAAAAAATAAAATTAAGTATATACTATAGTAAATTTAATACAACCTAATTAGTCCTTCATAACAACTCTTCTTTGTCAACTGGCATTTTACAAAAGACCAATGTTGTATATCAATTTAATGTCCTTTAGGAGATTGCATCTCTGATAAAAGACTTAATAATATGTATGTCAGTGTTACTACAACAACCATGACAAGAAGGCTTACATTTCACTTAAATGATTATAGTTCAATCTCAGAGCATATAAGCGAACACTCATGTCAGTATTCACAGTTTAGACAGATATTAGTAAAAAATACAACAGTCCTCCACCAAGATAATAATAAGCAAAAACTAAAACTTGTAGAAGTTCTTTTTCATAAAAGAATTGCAGCTAAAAATTAAATCAACTACAAGTATAGCAACAATGTTCTTCAGTGTTTATAACAGCAAAAATTTTTTATAAATACTAAATTATAATTATTAAAACTACAATTTAAAAAATCTTTTAAACTCATACAAATATAATCCGAAAATCATATAAGTTACCTCCCTTGCATAATGAGTAAATATTTTGAATTTTACAGTGATCATGCACAAAAATATACTCCCAAAAAATCACATAAGTTTTCTCCCTTGTATAATGGGTAAATATTTTAAATTTTGTGATGTTCCTGCACATATATCCATAGACACTAAACCCTGAAGACAATCTCAGACAAGATTGAAGATCCTCCTACCAACAGAACATCTTTCTGTTATCAACAAGCAGACTGGGACTCGTTCCACAATTTCCTTCACGATGTCCCATGGAATCTGGTTTTTAATCTCCATGTTCAAAAATGCGCTTCCAAGGTCTTCTCCTGGATAAAAGCTGAAATCAAGGCTCTCATCTCCAGAAGGAAATATAAAGTTAAATCATGCTCATCCCTTTGGTTCACATAGGCTGTCTTGCTCTAAGCTGCATATAAATATTGCCCGGGGAAGATAGTAGAGATTAAGGAATCACTCTTCTTCTGTTTGTACCATTATGCGAAACAGTGTCAAATTACCAAACAAATGTCTATTCTTTGTCTCATTACATTTTGTGTTGTATTATTCCATGAGCTTGCATAGCGTGTTCTCAATGAAGCAAAGTTCTCAACTATTTGCTGAAAAGAATTAAAAAACATATTGCATCTTTCAAATTCAGTTCCAAAGATTATTGGCATCTCTGTAAGAGCATACCAAACAACAGCAAATCCGCAATACCCCCTGTATTCAATCAATTTGAGGTCTTGACTTCCTCAGCTGATAAGGCTGAATGCTTTGCTCAGAAATTCTCATCCAACTCAACGCTTGACTCATCCAGTGTACCCACACCCGATTTTCCCCCTAGAACTGAGGCACTATTGAGTGAGTTGCACATAACCCCATCAATGGTATTGGGCATCGTCTCTACATTAGACTCCCATAAGGCTAGTGGGGACAGGATACCAGCCATTGTCCTGAAAAAATGGAGCCTCCACTGTTCATCTCATGGTCCTCAACAAAATCCAGAGACGGATATGTAATGTGATTGATCCTGATTTGGCATCTTGTCTACAGTCACTTTCTCACAGATATGTTGTTGCTTCCCTCTGTCTTTTCTACAAGTACTTTCATGGCAACTGCTCCTACACGCTACTTTCATTGGTTCCCAAGCTGCATGAGTTTAAGCGTGCTACTAGGTTGGCATCTCGGTCCCACTGTTATATGTAGCCATCTCTTTTACTCCAATGGCTTTATGTCTCACACTTACCATCTGTGGATCTCCCTTCCTCTTACTTGCTTCCATGATAGCTATAATCCTTATTTGGTTTGGTTTGGTTTTTGTTTTACGGCATATCAACCTCAGTCATTAATGCCGGCAACTTTTTTTTTCTGGTAATACTTTTGTTTTGTCAAAAATCTATTTCTGGTAATAATATTTTTTCAAAAACGTATAGCTGGTAATATTATTTTTTTTTTAAATTTATTTCTGGTAATAATTATTTTACAAAGTAATTCTGGTATTAAAACCTATTTTTACACTTTTATAATGCTTTTAACCTTAGTTTCAGGGTTAACTATTTGCCCATAGCTGAGACCCTAACAGGTGCTACCACCCCAGGTCAGGGTGGACCTGAGAACACTAGCAATTAAGAGGTGTTTCCACACTCCTCAAAGCCTCCTGATCAGAGGCCTTGCTGTTGGATGTAATTTATCATCTTACCCTGGACGTGGATATAGTTTATCGTCCTACCCAGGACGGTAATCCTCATTTATTCAAATGCAATGTCAATCAATGTCTTCAGATGCCTTGACCTAATTCTTCGTTCTTCTCTTCATCCTTTCCTCTATCATGCCTCTTTACTCTTGCTCCCACTTTCTGTAACCCCTTGCATGCTAGTGGCACTTCCGTCTTGTTGGAGGCGAAATGCTTAAAAAAAAAAAAAAGATAAAAATGAAATCCAAAATTACCTCATATAGGGAATAGCCTATTTTGGCAGATGAAAATATCTGTCATCTGTCTTATCAACCCCAGGTGTGGACTGAGGTGTTGATAAGACAGAGGACTGATATCTTTGTCTGTCGAAATAGGCTATTCCCCAATTCCCATATGAGGTAATTTTGGATTTTATTGTTTATTAATTATATGTATCATTTCACACCAAAAAAGGCATTAAGGCCACAAAGATGCTAGAAGTCATTAGGTATGAAACAATATGAGTAAAAGAAAAAACTTAAAGAAGAGGAATTAGCATAACATTTCAATTTTCAACCATAAAATGATGAGACCCAATTGCTAATCTAGTACTGATGGGTAAGACAATAAACTACATCTGCATCCTGGTTAGGGTCTCAGCTATAGGTAAAATAGGTGCACAAACTGGAGTTAAAACACTATGAAAATGTAAAAATAGGTTTTAATACCAGCAATAAATTTTGGAGGAAAATTATTACCAGCAAAACACTTTTGAAGAAAAAAATATTTCCAGCAATACATTTTTGAAAAAAAAATTATCAGCAATAAAAATTTTGTTATCTGTCTCTATTTCTGAAATGAGGTATTATGTACACTATTTACATTATTTGGACTGTTGTCCTCATCTTTATCGCCATATTTATTACAAGTTTCGGCCCTTCAGTATCTGTCTATATTTCTGAGATGAGGTATTATATACACTATTTACATTATTCAGACTATTGTCCTCATCTTTGTCACCATATTTATCACAACGTTTTGACCCTTCAGTATCTGTCTATATTTCTGAGAATATTATGTATGGTGTCTCATTTTTCGCCATATTTATTACAAAGTTTCAGCTGTTGTAATAAATATGGTGACAAAGATGAGGTCACTAGTCCGGATAATGTAAATAGTGTAAATAAAAATTTTGTCGGCATTAAATAAATGATTGAGGTTGATATACCGTAAAACAAAACAAACCAAACTAAACCAATAGTTATGTAACTGAGCAACCAAAAATAATTTTCTAAAATTGAGAAAATTTGATTATGAAAGAGAAACTGGTCCACAGTTCTAAGCAAAAATCATAATTTTGATGCTAAGACAAAAAGAAAAAACTAGCAAAGTGAAAACATGTATTATCAAATGAAAGGAGAAAATAATAGAACCAATAAAGCAAGTTACTCATTTGTCTTTCAAAATAACAATATATCTCCCCTCACCCATATTATTCAAATTTAACATTCTGTTAATTTTTAATCATTTTCTTTACAGCATCCAAATTCTTTACAGTCGAAGGTCGAGAGGTGAGTAAAATTTAAGATAAATTTAAAATATGTCTTTTTACTTGTCTATATTTCTGAGATGAGGTATTATGTACAGTATTTACATTAGTGGGACTATTGTCCTCATCTTTGTCGCCATATTTGTCCTGGCGTTTGACCGTTACGCTCCGCCTTCTTCAGGTGGTTGGAATTTCGAACTGAACCCTTTATTTCCTCAAGGACACATGGCACAGTGGATAAAAGGCGTTGGTTAGATCCAGTGACAGACCCAAAGAAGGTGAGTTCAATTCCTGGTTAAGGCAGTGGAGAACTTTCAGAGGGAAAATTTTTTCAAACATGGCACGTGGAACGAAATAAAGGGTTCAGTTCAAAATTTTTTTTGACAAATATTGACAAAGATGAGGACAAGTCCACTAATGTAAATACTGTCTTTTCATTTTGATTCATTTTGTCAATCAAATCCTATAGATTCTTTGGCATACTTGGACTTCCATACCTAAAAAAAATTGGAGCATCAAAAGAATTTTAACAGCTTTCACTCCTCAGGAATGTTCTGTGTTTTAAAACAGTGCTTGTCAACCAGTGGTCCTTGCAAAATTTTTGATGGTCCAAAATAAGAAAACAAGGTTCTAATTAGGAATAACATTGCTAGAAAAGATATAAATATTGCTACAAGCAAGGAATATTTTGGTATTTTCTATAATGTTGAGAAGGACCATTAACATTAAAATTGTTCTTCAGATGAAATAACATTTTTTGGGGGAAGGAAATTAGATAAAAAAAGAGCAAGAATAACAAAAATATTTGCTGAATTTTTATTTGTTGCTTGTTGTGTTTATCCATTTTAATTTTATAATTATCAACAAAAATTGTTTAATTTTTCTTTTTTGTCAACACTAAATCTAACCATAAAATATATATAGTTATTCATGTTCGATTTTATTTGATCTTTAATAGGCTAGTAGCAGCAGTCACTGTTATTTGTTACCTCCGTTTGGTATTTTTTACTACATCATAAAGTCATTTTATGAACTTGTAAAGAGGAAGGTTATACTTAACATAAGGAAGAGGCAGATGAAATTTCTGGGACACATAATGAGAAAAGAGGGTCTGGAGAATCAAATACTCACAGGTCGAATAGAGAGAAAAAGAGACAAGGGGAAGCAATGCATGACATACCTGGCGGGCTTAAGCAAGTGGGTGACAGAACGTGGTCTGAGGGAGTTGGCAGAGGCACAAAGCTTATTGAGAGCCACAAGGGATAGGGAGAAGTGGAGAGCCATGATCGTCTATGTCCTGAAAGGACACGTCACATAAAAAAAAAAAAACTAACTTTTAACAAAAAATTTTGGTATGCTTTTGAATATTTACTATAAAGATGTGCAGTGGGAAATTCCTACATGTGAAAGTGGGCAATGATGCAAAAAAGATTCGGAACCCCTTCACTAGAGAGTACCTTGAAGAGTGTATAAACTATTTAATACGTGTACAAAGTAAAAATAATATGTATAAATACCTTCAAATATGCCTCTCCCTCACTTTTTTCCCCCCTGTTACTCCCTCCTCCATCAGATTTCATTTAGTTTCTTCCTCACTTTTCTCTTTCTCTTTTTCTCCCTTCTATGTCTCTTTCTCTTGTTTTTGACACTCTTTCTTTTTATTTCATTTAAACACTTCCTCTCTTTTTCTTCCTTCTATCTTCTTCCTCTTTCTCTTCTTCTCTATTACCTCCTCCCCCTTTTTACTTCATTTAGATGCTGCCTCAGTTTTTCTATTTATCTTCTTACTCTTCTTTATTGCTCCTCCTCCTCCTTTTATTTCATTTTTCCTCCTTCATTTTAGCTTTTCTTCCTCTTTTTTTCTTCCTCTTTTTTCTTCCTTTCTCCCATTATTAGTCCTTTTCATTGCCCCTCCTCTTCTTATTCACCTCCTTTTTCTTTTCTTTATTATTTTCCTCCTCCTTTTTTTATTGCCCTCCTCCTTCTTCTTTTTATTGCCTTTCCTCCTCTTATTTCTTTTCCTGACTCTTTTACCTTTTTTCTTCCTTCTCCTATCCTATTTCTCTTCCTCCTTTTCTTTATTGCCCTTCCTCTTCTTCTTCTTTATTGCTCCTCTTCCTCCTCTTTATTGCCCCTCCTCCTCTTATTTCATTTAGCTGCCTCCTCCCTTTTACCTTTTTTCTTCCTATTTTCTCCTATCTTTATTGCCTCTTTCTCTTCTTTATTGCCCCTTTCTTTATTTGCTGCCCCCTCCTTTTACCTCTTCTTTGTTATCCTCCTTTTCCTCCTTTCTTTATCGCCCTTCCTCCCTCCTCTTATTTCATTTTTTTTTTGCCCCTCCTTTCATTTTTCCCTCTCTTTTACCTTTTTTCTTCCTTCTCCTATCCTATTTCTCTTCCTCCTGTTCTTTATTGCCCCTCCTCCCCATTTTTATTTTATTTAAAGGCTTCCTCTCCTTTTCTTCTCTCTTTTTTTTCCTCTTCTCTATTGCCCACCAGCATTTAATTTGATTTAGACACTTCCTTTCTTTTTCTTCTGCTCCCTCCTCTTCTCCATTACCCCTCCTCTTAATTTCACTTCTTTCTCTCTTTTTCCTCTCCACCTTCTTCCTTTCATTGGTTTTCTTTTTATCATCTGCTTCCTACATCTCCTACTCTTTTTCTTTTCACTCCTCTTCCTGTCCCTCTTTTCTCAACCCCCCTACCAACCCTCACATTTTCACCTTGAATTTTCCTTTGAATTCTCTCTATTGCTTCTCAATTATTGCTTCATTTGAGTTTTCCTGATAAGTTTCTTGTCTATTCAAAAATAGTCTTTCTTCTTTCTAAATTTCTGTTAATCCTAGCACGGCTTTTAAATTTCTGCCAGGGTAATGCAATCAACCAAAATGACACTTTAAATAGTCTGAAATTGTTCACATTTACTTTCTTTGTAGTTTGTGTTTGCTCAAATATTCATTAAATTGCAATTAATTAAGTTGATAATTAGACAATAAACAGTGATATGCTAATTAACTGAAATTTTATTCTCTGATACTTACTCTAATATACGTGGGTGGGTTGAAAGTAATGCTACCTATTCATTTATTTCCAGGGGAGAGCACATTGACATGGGGTAATGGTTAACAAGCTTGTCTCACAAGATCAATTATGATTGAGTAGTGAGTTCAATCTTCATTCGGTCCTTCCTTCCCCCCATTTTTAGCTTTGGACTTGGTGCCATATCTAAACAAAGCTTAGAAAATCATTTGGGCACATTGGCATGGGGTAATGGTTAACAAGCTTGCCTCGCTAGATCAATTATAACTGAATAGTGAGTTCAATCCTCACTGGGTGCTCTATATGATAGGCCTTGTGCCACATCTCTAAAAAATCATTTGGAAACAAGAAAATCTTGCCTCACTAGATTAGGTGACTAAATAGTGAGTTTGATCCTCACTGGGTGCTCCATATATAATTGTTACATAACTACACTGAGAAAATCATCATTAGGTACATTGGCGTTATATAATTGTTAATAAGCTTGTCTTTTGCGACCAATTACGACTAAGAAGTGAGTTGGATCCTCACTGGGGATTCTTTAATCATTTCACCTTAGACAAGGCAGTAAAACCACTAAGACCCAAGGGGGTTACTGAATGTGAAAGATTAAAAAAAAAAAGAGAAAAATTATTATGGAGTGAGAAGAAAAGAAAAGTAACCGAGAAGACAGTAGATAAAGATTAAAATTGAATTTAAATTTTTAAAGATCAAAGTTGGTATGGAGTTAGAAGAGTGTTCCACAGGTGAGAAGTGCAGGAAAAGAAACCGTTAGCAAAGAACTTAGAGTTGCATCTTGCCATTTCAACTTTGAATTGATGAGATTTATCCGCCAGTTCCGTACTGTGCTTCAATTCATAAAGTCTAGGTACGATAGTGAAGCATTCATCTGAACAATTACCATGAAAGTATTTATAGAAAAGACACAGGGAAGTTAAATTATAGCAGTGGGAAAGTGAATGAAGCTAAGATGCCAGTTCTGGACGAATAATATTGCTGATTCTTCTTTGGATTTTATCAAGTATCTCTAAATATATAGCAGGAACATGAGACCAGATGTGGGCAGGCAATAAATTAAGATAGATTCTTCTTTGGATTTTATCAAGAATCTCAGGACCAGGCCAGATATGGCAGCAATAGGATGAATGGTATAAATATGTAAGATAGATTCTTCTTTGATTTTATCAAGAATCTCTAAATATATAGTAGAAGCACCAGGCCAGGTATGGCAGCAATATTCAAAGCAAGGATGAATGTTAGACTTATACATATGTAAGATAGATTCTTCTTTGGATTTTATCAAGAATCTCTAAATATATAGCAGAAGCACCAGGCCAGATGTGGCAGCAATATTCAAAGCAAGGATGAATGGTAGACTTATAAATATGTAAGATAGATTCTTCTTTGGATTTTATCAAGAATCTCTAAATATATAGCAGAAGCACCAGACCAGATGTGGCAGCAATATTCAAAGCAAGGATGAATGGTAGACTTATAAATACGTAAGATAGTTGTCTGGAGGCCGTGGTTGGTGCCACTAATGCTTTTATTGAATAAATTTACTCTTTACTATTTCAAGATATTTTTGTGTAATTTTGGTAAATATATCTGTTAAATATGGTGTCAGTGTTAAGGTTTTGTGTAATTTAAACAACAATTTATCCATCTCATCCTCTTTCTCTCTCTGTCTCTCATATATATATATATATATATATATATATATATATATATATATATATATATATATATATATAAAGAATAGAACAATATAAAAAATACAATATAGAAACCTTTTATTCTACATTCAACATCATCACTTGATAAGACACCAGAAGTGTTGAAACAAAATGGGTATTTTTGTAGTGATTTTATAACATATTTATGTTATAATTTTCGAATAAATATTATATATATATATATATATATATATATATATATATATATATATATATAGTTATCCACAGATAGACTGTTTCACTGTATCATAGCTCATCAGTGTGGCTAGACATCTGGTTGTCACTAGCTAGGATGAAAACCCCACTGAATTGGTGTCAGTCAGCGATTCTACCACTAAGCCATTAGTGCACGGCAGGGTTTTAGGCAAATTTAAGCGTATTTATTTTTAGATAAATACACAGTGACTGAGAGAACTTGATTCGATATACCAAAGAGTCATGCATTATTAGCCATAATAGTCACTGTTTACAAATCCACACTTCCTCCCCAGAGAGTTCAACCGATATAAATTTTTCAGGAGTATATATATATATATATATATATATATATATATGATCTGCTATTATATCTTAATTAATGTTAATTATGCTATTTGATGTATGCTTTTTATATATGCTTTAAAAGATATATACTTTTTAAAAAATAAAGGAGAGAGGGATAGGAAAGAGAAAGGATATGAAAGAATGTGAAAGAAAGAGGACAGGAAGAACAGGAAAGAGAAGTAAAAAGTGTGAAAAAGAGAAGAAAAAAAGAAAAGTGTATAAAAGAGAGAGGATAGGAAAGAAAAGAGAAAAAGAGTGTGATAAGAGAGAGGAAAAAAAAAGAATGTAGGAAAGAAAAGAGTGTGAAAAGGAAGGAAAGAGAAAAAAGAGTGTGAAAGAGAGAGGATAGGAAAGAAAAAGAGTGTGAAAGAGAGAGGATAGGAAAGAAAAAGAGTGTGAAAGAGAGAGGATAGGAAAGAAAAAGAGTGTGAAAGAGAAGATAGGAAAGAAAAAGAGTGTGAAAGAAAGAGCATAAGAAAGAGAAATGAAAAAGAGAAATAGGAAAGAAAAAATGAAAGAGAAAGAGGAAAGAAAAAGATGTGAAAGAGATGGATGGAAAGAAAAAGGGAAAGAAAAAAAAGAGTTTGAAAGAAAGAGCAAAGAAATGAAAAAGAGAACAAGTTAAATGAATTTCAAATGAAATGAAACTGAATGGATGGAAGGAAGGAAAACATCTAATTAATTAATAAAGAGAAAAATTGGGTGTAAGAGAAAGGAAAAGAATGTGAAAGAAAGCCAAGTATAGAATGGAAAAAAAAAGGAAATGATTGACAAGGTAGTAAAGAGAAAGAAAGAAAATGAAGAGGTTGAGAGTGAAAAAGTAAGAAAATTGTTAAAAAGGAAGGTCAAAGAAGAAAAAGCATAGAAGGAAAAGAAAAAGGGTTGAGAAAGGCAATCATTTGTGGGTATCAAAAGGACAAAAATGGGGACCAAACAATGAAATCATGCAAATGAGGGTAGAATTGATGTAATCAAGAAGAAAGACTAACTGAGGGTGGGATTGGTTCAGTAGGGTGGGGCACCCAGGAACCCTAAAGAGTATGAGAGTTAGAAATGGCATAGAAGAAAGGGTAGAATTTGCATAAGGAGGAAGACAGACAAAAATGGAAAGAGAGAAATTGAGGAAGAAGAAGAGTGAGTAAATGATTAGAGACAGAAACTAAGAGTAGACAAAAGAGAGAAAGAGAAGAGAAAGAGGAACGAGAGAAAAGATAGATAAAAACAGCACAAAAGAAAAGGGTAGAATTTGAATAAGGAGGGGAAAAGATAAGTTGATGAAGAAAGAGAGAAAAGATGAGAGAGAAGGTGCAAAAAAGAGGGAAATGGTAAAAGCAGAAGGGAGTGTGAGGAAGAATTGATAAAAAGGGAGATGGTGAGGTTCAAGAGAAGGGAAAACAGAAAGAAACAAGGAGCGAAAAAGAAGAGGAAGATTAGATGGGGAAAGAAACAGAGAGTGAGTAAAGAAAACATAGTAGAACAGAAGGAGTGAATAAAGATAGGGTGAAAGGGAAGAGCAAAAACAAGATAAGAACAAAAGACGACATAAGATCTGAAAGAAGAGAAAGAATGAAAGCCTGAAAAACTAAAATTTGGAGGAAGATGATGATTAAATTCTCTCTATAGATGAGACAATTTTTCTGGCCAGAAACCATCTTATACATTTATATGTCTACCATTTGCCTATGCTTTGAATATTTCTGCTACATCTGTTTCTTGTACTATATATTTAGTAATTCTTGATAAAATCCAAAGAAGAATCTATCTTACATATTTATAAGTCTACCATTCATCCTTGCTTTGAATACTGCTGCTTTGAATATATGGTCTGGTGCTTCTGCTATATATTTAGAGATTCTTGATAAAATCCAAAAGAAGAATCTATCTTACATATTTATAAGTCTACCATTCATCATTGCTTTGAATATTGCTGCCATATATGGTCTGGTGCTTCTGCTATATATTTAGAGATTCTTGATAAAATCCAAAGAAGAATCTATCTTACATATTTATAAGTCTACCATTCATCCTTGCTTTGAATATTGCTGCCACATCTGGTCTGGTGCTTCTGCTATATATTTAGAGATTCTTGATAAAATCCAAAGAAGAATCTATCTTACATATTTATAAGTCTACCATTCATCCTTGTCTTTGAATATTATCTTACATACTTATAAGTCTACCACATCTGGTCTGCTTCATCTAGTCTGGTGCTTCTGCTATATATTTAGAGATTCTTGATAAAATCCAAAGAAGAATCTGCAATGTTATCATTCCTGACCTTACATACTAGCTTACACTTTCCCAGCGTAGCTTTTTTTTTAATATTTTCATGGTAATTGTTTGGATAAAGCTTTCCTCTTTGGTATCTAGACTTTACGAATTTAATGATTGACAGCAAGGTCTCATCATTTTACAGTTGAATTGGTTTGATGTAACCATAAGTCCTCTATACTAAGAGTTTCCTCTCTCGCACTTCTCACTTGTGGAGATCTCTTCAGGCTTTTTGCTTTCTAGTCTACTTTGATCTTCAAAAATTTAAATGCAATGTCAATCATTATATTCTGTCTTCTTAATTCCAGTTCTTTTATTGTCCTCTCTCATTAATAGTAGTTTTTCTCATATTCTATAACACTCAGTAACCCCTTACATCCTAGTGGCTTTATTGCCTTTGATCTTCAAATATTTAAATGCAATATCAATCGTTATCTTCTGTCTTCTTAATTCTTTTATTGTTCTCTCTCCTTAATAATGCTTTCTTTGTTTCATATTCTCTCGCATTCAGTAACCTCTTGCATCCTAGTGGCTTTATTGCCTTGCTTTGTGAATGATTAAAAAATCATCTCCAATGACAGTCTGCTTTGTGGTTAAAATTGTATCAAGTTTGCCTTTCACAGTAATTTGCAATGATAACTGGTGTTGCCTTAGTTGAGTCTCCCTTGCTGGGGGGAAAAAAATGTGGTAAAAGAAAAATGTCATTCTTTTGCTATACATTTCTCTAAAGTCAGAATGTCAAATTCTATCTAAAGTAGGCCTTATTGTAACCAAGTATAGACTTGCCAGGCAAATAAGAGAAACAATTAATATTTTCTTAATTATCATAGAATTATCCAAATTATGAATGAGCTGAAGTAGTCTCTTCTACCCAGTAGTACAATTTTATTACAAAAACAAGAGAAATAAAAATGACTTATCATCCTGGTCCCACCTACTTACTAATGATATATTCTATTTCTGTGTTAAACAAGTTATGTTCTGTTAATTTATTATTATTAACAGTAAGACCTAGTTGCCAATCTAGTAGAAGGTTTAAATTCCTGCAGTCAAGGCATTAAGGAAAAAAGTTCCTCAGAACAGTTGACATGAAAATATTTGGTGAAAAAGACAAATAGATGATTGAAAGAGAAACAGTAGAAGAAGTGAAAGAGAAAGAGAAAATGAAAGAGAAATGAAACAAAGGTATTTGTTGAGAGATGAAAAGGAGGAACTGTTGCTAAAGTTTGAAAAGGAGAAAAGGAAGAAATATATAGAATTACCGATTCTGAAGTTGGGGCAGAGTGGGTAAAGTATTTTTGTTTGGCAGATTGAAAAGGCAGAATTGGTTAGAATAGATGCATTGGCTGGTGAGGGGCTTGAGGAACTTCTATAATTGGAGATGAAATAATACTGAGTATACCTCCCGGAATTATGATAACTAAATATTTCATTAACATATAGGGGAAATTAGGCTTACTAAAGCATTTCCGCATAACAATAAAAGTGTGCCTAGAGAACTTAACACTCAGAGGACACACTGAAAACAAGAGACACAGGAAGAGACAATGAGTAACAAGTGAATATGTGACAGAACAAGAACAAAGAGTATGGTAAAGAAGGTTATGCCACTTGTTGCTGTAACAGTGGAATATCTCATTACTAAGTAGGGGACATCAGGCTGCATGACCAGTAAGTATATCAAACCATTTCGTGTTTTATATTATAGTTAGTTTATTGAACCGTTCAAAAATGATCGTTATATTTAAATAATTTTACGCATTTCATTGATTATATCTTCCGCATGAGTAATCTAGGATTTTTATCTCTGGAATTAATTCTATTGTCGCATGTAAGAAAGAATTTGGCTTTTTTAACCATCAAAAATAAAAAATATCTAGCGAAAGATAAATGGAATGGAAATAAAAAAGTCAAATTCTCACTTAGTCATAAATCGAAGATGGAGAGGAAAAGCAAAAGGAAAGAGAAGACACAGTAGAGCAAGAAAAAGAGAGAGAATTGCAGAAAGGAAAGAAAAGGAGGGAGAATTGCAGAGAGGAAGGAAAAAAGAGAGAGAATTGCAGAGAGGAAGGAAAAAGAGAGAGAATTGCAGAGGGGAAGGAAAAAGAGAGAGAATTGCAGAGAGGAAGGAAAAAGAGAGAGAATTGCAGAGAGGAAGGAAAAAGAGAGAGAATTGCAGAGAGGAAAGAAAAGGAGGGAGAATGGCAGAGAGGAAGGAAAAAGAGAGAGAATTGCAGAGAGGAAGGAAAAAGAGAGAGAATTGCAGAGAGGAAAGAAAAGGAGGGAGAATTGCAGAAAGGAAAGAAAAGGAGGGAGAATGGCAGAGAGGAAGGAAAAAAAGAGAGAATTGCAGAGAGGAAAGAAAAAGAGAGAGAATTGCAGAAAGCAGAAAAAAAGGAGGAGAATTGCAGAGAGGAAGGAAAAGAGAGAGAATTGCAGAAAGGGAAAAAGAGGAAGGAAAAAGAGAGAATTGCAGAGGGAAGGAAAAGAGAGAGAATTGCAGAGAGGAAAGAAAGAGAGAGAATTGCAGAGAGGAAAGAAAAGACAGAGAATTTCAGAGGGGAAGGAAAAAAAGAGAGAATTGCAGAGAGGAAAGAAAAAGAGAGAGAATTGCAGAGAGGAAAGAAAAAGAGAGAGAATTGCAGAGAGGAAGGAAAAAGAGAGAGAATTGCAGAGAGGAAAGAAAAGGAGGGAGAATTGCAGAAAGGAAAAAAAAGGAGGAGAATGGCAGAGAGGAAGGAAAAAAAGAGAGAATTGCAGAGAGGAAGGAAAAAAAGAGAGAATTGCTGAGAGGAAAGAAAAAGAGAGAGAATTGCAGAGGGAAGGAAAAAGAGTGAGAGATGTAGAGAGGAAGTAAAGAGAGAGAGAATTTCAGAGGGGAAGGAAAAAGAGAGAGAATTGCAGAAGGGAATAGAAATGAAAAAAAAAAGGAAAAAAGAAGGAATAGAGAGGAAGTGGGACAAGAAAAATAGAGGGGATGCAGCAGAGCAAGAGAGGGAAACACAATGGTGTAAGAAAGTGAGAGGGATATAAAGTGGGGAAAGAGACAGAGAGGGGCATAAGACGATGAGAAAGAAAAAAAAAAGGAGACCAGGAAGCATAGAGTGATATAATTTTTTTTAATCGTCTCACCCCAATCAAGGCAATAAAACCACTAGGATGCCTGGGGAGTTCCAAGCTGTGAAAGAGAATGAGAAGGACAATAAAGGAACAGGTTTCATGAAGACAGAAGATGACAGTTGACATTGCATTTAAATCTTTGAAGATTGTAGATGGCAGGGAAGCAAGAATTCAGAAGTGAGTTCCAGAGGTGAAAAGTAAATTCTAGTATAGAAGAGATGGTTGCATCTAGCTAGTTCAACACTAAAACAGTGAGATCTAATTGCCAATCTAGTATCAGGTTTAAATCCCTGCAGTCAGGGCACTAAGGAAAAAAGCTCCTCAGAACAGTTGCCAAGTTTCAAATCAATTTGAAATATAAAATGGTAAATAATAAAGATTTCCTTATAGTTGGTTCACATATTTTAATAATTTCAGTTATATGCCATGTGTAATACACACTTAGGCAGTCATGTATCTTTCAATACATGACTGACAAGGCAGATTTTTTTACCGCCGTAGGTTGCCATTTCTTTCTGCGGTAGGCCAGTTGCCATCCAAGGCTATAGAACCCCGTCTGTTCTGCTATTTACCCATAGCTGGGGAAAGAAGAAGAGGAATCATACCTTTCCCAAGGGTATTAGCACGTAAGTGAATGTAATGTATTCGACTGGAATTCAAACTTGGCTCTCCGATTCCGCAATCCGATACTGTAGTCAAATTAGCTTCAAAATTAAGTCTTCAAGGGTCACAAGATACACAAATATATACAATAAACAGAAACTGAAGAAAAGTGAAAGCATTTTAAACGAACGAAAGAAAGAAGAAATATTTAAAAGGAGAAATATTTAACACCTTCAATAAATACGAAATTAACATTTATTCAATGTCTTGCAAGAAAGAAAGAAAGGAGTTCCAAAGATGAGAAGTACTAGAATAGAATAAACGTTTGCATCTAGCTAGTTCAACACTAAAACAGTGAGACCTAATTGCCAATCTAGTAGCAGGTTTAAATTCCTGTAGTCAAGGCATCAAGGAAAAAAATTTCCTCAGAACAGTTGCCATGAAAATATTTGGTGAAAAAGACAGATAGATGATTGAAAGAGAAACAGTAAGAGAAGTGAAAGAGAAAATGAAAGAGAAATGAAACAAAGGTATTTGTTGAGAGATGAAAAGGAGGAACTGTTGCTAAAGTTTGAAAAGGAGAAAAGGAAGAAATATACAAAATTACCGATTCTGAAGTTGGGGCAGAGTGGGTAATGTATTTTTGTTTGGCAGATTGAAAAGGCAGAATTGGTTAGAATAGATGCATTGGCTGGTGAGGGGCTTGAGGAACTTCTATAATTGGAGATGAAACAAACTCCATAGTCATTACGGGGCATTAAGGGCTAATATGTCCATCCTTTGAAAATTACTCTTCCGTCGGCAGAATCAACAGTAAAGGGGTAGAAAGACAATAGATTCATATTAATGAGAGTTTGATGAGGCTTGAAACATACCCATCGTTATTTGAGGCTGACTGATTTGACTCTCTTCTCTATCGCTATCTTTTCTACTCTCTCTCTCTCTTTCGTTTCTTATTTTTTTCCATCACTTTTTGCTCTTTCTTCCTCATCACTCTCCCTCACATTTTTTGCCTGTCTTTTTTTTCTCTTTTTCTTCCCTCTATTTGGCTCTTCCACTCTTTCTATATCCGCCCCCCTGCACTTCTATTTATTTCCCACACTGTCATTCTCTTTTCTAGTCTTTCTGTATTTCTCCTCTACTTTTTCTCTTTTACACTTTTTTTTCTAATGTCTTTTTTTCGCCTCCCTTCTTTCGTCTTTCTTTTTTTTTCCTTTTTTTTCTGTATTTCTTTTCGGTCTTCCTTTACTTTTTTTCCACTACTGCTTTTTTTTCTCTTTTCCACTCTTTCTGTATTTCTTCTCTTCTCTCTTTTCTTCTTTCTCTTTCTTTCCACTCTTTCTGTATCTCTTCTCTTCTCTCTTTTCTTCTTTCTCTTTCTTCTCTTTCTCTTTTCTTCTTTCTCTTTTCTCTCTTTTCTTCTTTCTCTTTTCTACTCTTTCTGTATCTCTTCTCTTCTCTCTTTTCTTCTTTCTCTTTTCCACTCTTTCTGTATCTCTTCTCTTCTCTCTTTTCTTCTTTCTCTTTTCCACTCTTTCTGTATCTCTTCTCTTCTCTCTTTTCTTCTTTCTCTTTTCTACTCTTTCTGTATCTCTTCTCTTCTCTCTTTTTCTTTTTCTCTTTCCACTCTTTCTGTATCTCTTTCTCTTCTCTCTTTTCTTCTTTCTCTTTCCTCCTCTTTCTGTATCTTCTCTCTTTTTTCTTTCTCTTTCTCCACTCTTTCTGTATCTCTTCTTTCTCTTTTCTTTTCTTTCTCTTTTCTACTCTTTCTTTATTTTCTTCTTCTCTTTTCTTCTTTCTCTTTTCTTTTCTGTTTTTCTCTTTTCTTCTCTTTCTTTCTTCTTTTTTTCTTTTTCTACTCTTTCTGTATTTTCTCTCTTTTTCTCTTTCTCTTTTTTCTTTCTGTATTCTTTCTCTCTTTTCTTCTTTCTTTTCTTTTCTGTATCTCTTCTCTCTTTTCTTTTCTTTCTTTCTCTTTTCTACTCTTTTCTGTATCTCTTCTCTTCTTCTTTTTCTTTTTTCTTTTCTTTCAATATTGCCTGTCTCCTTTTCTTTTTTTTTTTTCTTTCCTTTTCTTTTTTTTTTCTCTATTCTTTTTCCTCCTCTTTCTCCTTCCCACACTTTCCATATGGCTTCTACCCCTTTTTCATATTCCTTGTCTTTTTCTTTTTTTCTCTTCATCTTTCTTGCTCTTTCTCTATCTCTTCTCCTCTCTTTTTTTTCTCTCACTTTCCATTTTCCATTCTTTGTGTATCTCTTCTTCTCTCTTCTTTTTTCTTCCTTTTTTTTTCTTTTTCACTCTTTCTGTATCACTGCTACTTTTTCTTCCCTTTTTTTCTTCTTTTTGCTCTTTCCATATTTCTTCTCTTCCTTTCTCTTTTTCTTCATTCTCCACCTCTTTTTTGTCCTTTCCATCTCTCTTCTCCTTTCCTTCTCTTGTCCCCCTCTTTTCCTTTCCAGTCTTTCTATATACTTTTTTTTTTTTCAAAAGATCATTCTTTTTATATTTCTTTGTCTTTTTCTTATCTTTGGTTTTATTTTTTATTCTCTTTTTTTTTCTCTCTCACATATTTTTGGCCAATTGGCTTTTACTCTTTCTTTCTCTTATGTTTCTCTTTTCCCTTTGCTTTGTTTCTTTCTGTCCATTTTTCTTCTTTCTTCACATATTTTCATATCTCTGAATATTTTTTCTTTTTATGTCATTTTCTCCTTCATTTCTCTCATTGTTCTTTCTCTTTTTCTTTCATTATATTCCATTTTCTTTCATTGTCCTTTTTCCATTTTCTCTTATTTTTCTCACCTTACTTTAACTCTACCAACTAATTTTTATTCTTCACTTTCCTCCTCTCTCTCTTTTTCTTTTTTCTTCCTTTCATTTTTCACTTCTCGCCTGTCTCTCTTTTTCTTCCACATCCTTTCAATTATATTAGTTTCTCTCTCTTTTTCTTTCTTCTTCCTTTCTTCTTTTTTCTTACTTCATTTTTCTCTTTCTACCTCTTTTTCTTTCTTTTTCTTTTTTCTCTTTCCTCTTCTCTCTCTCTTTTTCTTTCTTCTTCCTTTCTTGTTTTTCCTACTTAATTTGTCTTTTCCTCTGCTCTCACTTTTTCTTCCTTTTTCCTACTTCATTTTTCTCTTTCCTCCTCTCTCTTTACCTTCTTTTTTCTTTTCCTTAATGCATCTTTCTCTTTTCTCCTCTCTCTTCTTCCTTTTTTCTTCTCTTGTTTTCCCAAATTCATTTTTCTTTTCCTCCTGTCTCTCTTTTTCTTTCTGCTTCCTTTCTTCTTTTTCCTTAATTCATATTCTTTTTCCTCCTCTCTCTCTTTCTTTCTTTCTTTCTTTCTTTCTTTCTTTCTTTCTTTCTTTCTTTCTTTCTTCTTTTTCCCTACTTTATTTTTCTCTTTCCTCCTCTCTCACTGTTTCTTTCATCTTCCTTTTTTCTTTTTCCTTAATTCATATTCTTTTTTCTCCTCTCTCTCTTTCTTCTTTCTTTCTTTCTTCTTTTTCCTACTTTATTTTTCTCTTTCCTCCTCTCTCACTTTTTCTTTCTTCTTCCTTTCTTCTTTTTCCAATTCATTTTCTTTCCTTTTTTTTTTTTCTTTTTTTTTTTCTCTCTCACATATTTTTGGCCAATTGGCTTTTACTCTTTCTTTCTCTTATGTTTCTCTTTTCCTTCGCTTTGTTTCTTTCTTTCTTCGCATATTTTCATATCTCTGAATATTTTTTTCTTTTTATTTCATTTTCTCTTTCATTTCTCTCATTGTTCTTTCTCTTTTTCTTTCATTATATTCCATTTTCTTTCATTGTCCTTTTTTCATTTTCTCTTATTTCTCTCCTCTCTCACTTCTTCCTTTCTTCTTTTTCCAATTCATTTTTTTCTTTCTTTCTTTCTTTCTTTCTTCTTCCCTACTTCATTTATCTCTTTCCTCTTCTCTTTTTCCCTCTTCCTTTCTTTTAATTTCTCATTTCTTTGATTATGTATCTGTTTCATCTCAATTTTCCCTCCGTCTCTCTTTTTCTCCTTCTTTTAACATTCCTCCTCCCCTTAATATCCTTCTTTCTACCTCTTTTCCTGTTCTCCTCCCCACCACTTTATTTCTGATTCTCATTTTCCTTTTTCTTCTTTTCTTCTGCCTCTTCATTCTATCTTTTGTCCTCATTTCTTTTGTTCAGTTAGACCTCTCTTTCTCACTTTCTGTCTTCTCCCTCTCTTTCTGTCTTTTTCCCTTTCTTTTCTCTTCTCTCTTTTTTTCTTTTGTCTTCATTTCTTTTTCTCTTCTTCCCCTTTTCTCCTTTCTGTCTTCTCCTTCTCTTTTCTCACTTTTGTCTTTTTCCTTTTGTCTCTTTCACTTTCTGTCTTCTCCTCTTTTTCACTTTTTTGTCTTTTTCTGTTTCTGTTCCCTCTCTTTCTCACTTTCTGTTTTCTCCCTCTCTTTCTCACTCTCTGTCTTTGCCCTATCTTTCTCACTATCTACCTTCTCACTCTCATTCTCACTCTCTGCTTACTCTCTCTCACTCTCTGTCTTCACCCTGTCTTTTTCTCTCTATCTATCTTCACCTTGTCTTTTTGCCCAATGTCTTTTCCCCTCTCTGTTTTCTTCTTCGTTGTCTTCCCCCTCTCTTTCTCACTTTCTGCCTTTTCCCTCTCTGATTTCTCTCTCTTTCTCTTTCACCATGTTCTTCTTTTTCCTCACTATCTCACTTATTTTCTTGCACTTGCTGAGGTTAAATAGGTTGTATAATTAGTTTAATTATCATGGGTGCACCACAATCATGGCCTCATGCCAGACTATGTTAACAATCAATACACCTGCTATCCTAGTATTCTAGATTTGCAGAAAAACAATGCACTTATGGGATATACACAGATTAGACTGACTGCTAGAGTCATGGGACACAGAACAGTGATTATATGTGATAGGAAGTGTTTAAGATAAACGATATGGCAAAGAGAGTGATTAGTTTCTATTGCTAATTCATTAATTACATTAATGAATTAAATGTTGATTAAAAAGGAATGATAATCCAGCATTTGTAAAATCTGGAAAGTACTGTAACAATAGCTTCCTCCTCCCCACACAGCCCAAACCGACTTTTATCTGTCATATGTATTGACCAAGCTGATGTTTTACTGTTGTCTGGCATTCAATATAAATCAAGTTTATGAATAAATTCTATAAAATGACATTAGAAATAAAGAAAAGAGTACTCTTATGTAATATCAGTCCTCCTATATGGCAGTGAATGCTGGACAATCTCCTCACAGATGAAGAAGAGACTTGAAGCAATAGAAACAAAGAAAAGAGAGCTGAACTGTTATGTAATATCAGTCCTCCTATATGGCAGTGAATGCTGGACAATCTCCTCACAGATGAAGAAGAGACTTGAAGCAACAGAAACAAAGAAAAGAGAGCTGAACTGTTATGTAATATCAGTCCTCCTATATGGCAGTGAATACTTGACAATCTCCTCACAGATGAAGAAGAGACTTGAAGCAACAGAAACAAAAGAAAAGAGAGCTGAACTGTTATGTAATATCAGTCCTCCTATATGGCAGTGAATGCTGGACAATCTCACAGATGAAGAAGACCTGAATGCTGACAACAGAAACAGATGAACTGTTATGTCATATCAGTCCTCCTATATGACAGTGAATACTTTGACAATCTCCTCTCAGATGAAGAAGAGACTTGAAGCAACAGAAACAAAGAAAGAGAGCTGAACTGTTATGTAATATCAGTCCTCCTATATGGCAGTGAATGCTGGACAATCTCCTCACAGATGAAGAAGAGACTTGAAGCAACAGAAACAAAGAAAAGAGAGCTGAACTGTTATGTCATAAAGAATGGCAGTGAAGCTGAACTCCCTCACAGATGAAGAAGAGACTTAGCAACAGAAACAAAGAAAAAGAGAGCTGAACTTTTCTATAAATACTTTGATAGTAATTCTTTTGATAAGCTTTCCTGCTTGGTACCTGGACTTTATGAATTTAAATGCAGTACTAGATTGGCTGTTAGGTCTCATCATTTCACATTTGGAATGGCTAAATGTAACAGTAAGTTCTATGCTAACAGTTTCTACTCTAGCATTTCTTGGCTTTTGGCATTCTCTTGCTTTCCACTCAACTTTGATCCACCAAAATTTAAATGCAATGTCAATCTTATCTTCTGTCTTTTTAATTCCAGTTCTTTTAATGTCCGCTCTCATTCATATTAGTTTTTCTCATGTTCTCTAACATACAGTAAACCCCTTGCATCCTAGTGGCTTTATTGCCTTTGATCTTCAAAAATTTGAATACATGCCAATCATTATCTTCTGTCTTGTTAATTCCAGTTCTTTTATTGTCCTCTCTTATTAATAGTAGTTTTTTTCTTGTATTCTTTAACACTCAGTAACCTCTTGTATCCTAGTGGCTTTATTGCCTTTGATCTTCAAAAATTTAAATGCAATGTCAATTATTATCTTCTGTCTTCTTGATTCCAGTTCTTTTATTGTCCTCTCTCATTAATAGCAGTTTTTCTCATATTCTCTAACACTCAGTAACTCCTTGCATCCTAGTGGCTTTATTGCCTTTGATCTTCAAAAATTTAAATGCAATCTCAATCGTTATCTCCTGTCTTGTTAATTTCTTTTTTTTTATTGTTCTCTCTCCTTAATAATGTTTTTCTTTTTTTTATATTCTTTCACACTCATTAACCCCTTGAGGCTTAGTGGCTTTATTACCTTGCTTTTGATGAAATGAGTGATGGTGATTGCTATCTTTTGGCAAATGAAAACCATGTCTTTAGTTTTGACTGTAAGTGCATAAGTGACTTAAAACCCACTTCCCTTCTGCAGGCCTTCCTATTTATATGATAGATGAAAAACTTAGTTAAGGTCTTAAATTTTATTTAGTCCTTATGCATTCTCATATAACTCTTTGATATACTGCTGACCTAGATACTTTGTTACAAAACTGACATAAATTTCCTGTCTCTTAACATAGTCTGTTTGGGATTGCTGAACACTATCAGATCTTTGTTGACTGGCAAGTCCTGCTTTGGATAATAATATGATTAAATATTGCACATTGTGATAATAGATCTGCCAAGAAAGGTAAAACACGGACTCAAATTTAATAATGTCATAAAAATAATAAAGTTAGAAAAATAGAAAACTGGTTCACTTTGTTGTGCTTGACAGTTTTTTCTCTTTAGGATCTTCCTTACTAATCATCCATGCTTAGAATATTGCAATATTGCTGTTACATGTGGTCTGGTGTTCCTGCCATATATTTTGAGATATGCAATAAAATCCAAAGAAAACTCTGCAATATTATTGGTTATGATCTGGTGTCTCTGTGGCTTTTCTATAGATACTTTCATGGCAATTCATCTGATGAACATTCTTCTACAGCAGGGGTGGCCAAACTGCAGCTCGTGAGCCACATCTAGTTTCTTTATCTTTAATATGCGGCCCGTGGAAATATGTTGGCTGAGCTCCTTTTTTATCATCTTACTTATTATAAAATGCAGATTGTGTGTGTGTGTGTGTGTGTGTGTGTGTGTGTGTGTGTGTGTGTGTGTGTGTGTGTGTCTGTACATTTGGATATATTGGATCGGAATTCCTACATTTTTCAACCGATTTCAACCAAACTTCACAGGACTGCATAAAATTACCTTGCGGTGGTTCTGACAGCGCCAAAAATTGGAAAAACATAATTGTTTTTGCACAAAATCAATTTGAAAACATGATTAAGAGGCATCACTGTCGCCAGAACAAAGGGGGACAACTGATATCGAGTTATACTTATTATAAAACCCAGGTTGTTTGTGTGTGTATGTCTGTACGTTTATATATGGAATCGGATTTCCTACATTTTTCAACCGATTTCAACAAAACTTCACTTTTTTTTTGGCAGGTAGTGTTTCTTATTGTCTTGCACGCTTTTTCCATTTACAAGTCAATTGTTTATAATAAAATTCTATTCAATCAATAGACTCATAACGATTGAAAACAATGTTTTTGTTTGAGTTTGGGTTTGACCAATTTGTAAAAAAAAAAACAAACAAACAAAAAACTAATTAAGACATGCATGTCTGTCAACCTTAAACAATAATCTTTGTCAATTTTATTTTTCAGTCTTTATGATGGTCGATACTTGATCTATCTCTTACTGTTACATCCCCGGGCAACGCCGGGCTCTCCTGCTAGTAGCTAATATAAACGATAAATAATAAAAATTTCAAGCTTTATAATTATGTACTGGGTATTAATTGAGAACCCATTGGGTTAAAATGTAAGTTAAATGTTAATGTGCATGTAACAAAAACATGTGTAAATTTTGTTCATATCTTGAGTCTCAAACATCTGGCTCTTACATAAATCAAGTTTTGTCACCCTTACTCTATGATATTTATGGGCTTTATGAATTTAAGCACAGAACTATATTGTAAATAAGATCTCATCTTTTTACAGTTGAATTAGCTGGAAGCTCTTTGCTAAGAGGTTTTTTTTTTTTGCAGTTTTTGCCTGAAGAAATCTCTCTTGGCTTCTTGCTTTCCAGCCAACTTTGATCTTCAAAAATTTAAATGCAATCTCAATGCTGTCTTCTTGATTCCTCTTCTTTTATTTTTCTACTTAATGTTTTTCTTTTATTCTTTTACACTGAGTAACCCTTTGAGTCTTAGTGGCTTTATTGTCTTGTTTGGGGAGAAGTGATAAAAAAAATATAAGGAAATTGAATTAAATCAGTTAGACTATATGGCCAGATACATCTAAAAAGACAAGAAAAATGAAATTGATGTTAGAATGAAGGAAAGAGAAAGTTGACTGAAAAAGAAGTAAAAGAAAAAAGAGGAATGAAATATGAAGAAAAAAGAGTAAGAAAGAAAATAAGAATAAGAAAAACAAAGTTGACAGAATTTGAGAAGGTGAAAAAGAATAAAATGAAAGAAATTTATGGAAAAAAAGAAGAAAAAGAAAAGGGGATTTTATGACAGAGAGCACACAAAAAATAAACAATAAACAATGAAATCTAATAATAATGAATGAAGAAGAAAAATTCGAAGCAAAACAAGAGAGAATGAAAAAGTATAATAATGTTGGAAGAAGAAAAAATGAAAGCGTAGAGAAGAAATAAAAAGGAAAAAATGAAGAAACAGATCGTTAAAAAGTAACTGAAGGAAGAAAAAAAAGAGGAAAATGAATAATAAAAGAGAAATGGATAAAAGAAATAAATCCCATTAAAAAATGAGAGCATAAATCCCATTAAAAAATAAGCATGAATCCCATTAGCAAAGACCATAAATCCCATTAAAAAAGAACATAAATCCCATTAAGAAAAAAGTTAAAAGCTTCATTAAAAAGAATATGTCGGAAAGGAAAAAAATCAGCAAATGAAAATAGATTAAATGAAAAAAAGACTTAAAAAGTAGGAAGAATGAATGAAAAACCAGCAACAATAAAAGGACAAATTAAAATTAAAATAAAATTAAATTAAAATGTTTTTTTTTTGGTCATTTGCTTTTATTACTTTTCTTATTAGCAGAACTATGAATACTTAAAAAAAACATTAGAAATTTATTTTTTCATTCAGATTATTTTTCTTAGTTTTCACAACGTTTCAGCTGGTACATATTCTGCCATTCTTCAGGTGTTGGACTGCAACAAATTATCTAAAAAAAATAATCACACAAGAATTGGTAAACCCCAAGTTATAGAACCAGACAGCCAAGAAAGGTCAAAAGTTATAGAAGGATAAAGAG